GAGAGAGACACACTGAGAGAGAGAGAGAGAGAGAGAGAGAGAGAGAGAGAGAGAGAGAGAGAGGGTAGGCAGCTGGTGTGGTCGGTCGGCGTAGTAGGTCACGTAGCGGTTCTGGTCGCGTAGGCAAGTTGGAAGATTGTGTAGGCAAGCCAGTAGGTCCCGTACCATGTCGATAGGTAGACAGGTGGTGTACGTGACCGCCCATTCGAGAGAAAAAACACGTTCGAGGGAGGGGCGGTTTTCGGGCAATGGCCCGGAGCAACGGCCCGGATTCCAGTGGCCAAGTCCCAATTACCCACTGTTCTCAATTTCCGGATATTCTCAATTTCGGACCCTTTTCTAATCAGCCCCAAAACAAACAAACGAAAAAGGGTGTCGCGACGTGCACAAAAGACAAAAATCATGGCAGTGTATCTTTCCATGCCCGAGTAGAAGATTCACTCTCGTTTTGCACATTCCGGGGCCCGCCACACCACTGTGGCAACGAAAAACGAACGATTGCATCTTCCTGCGGAGAAGGGCAAGATGCATCCGATACTATGAAGAGCAATGGATGCATCTTACCATTTTCTGGGTCATATGCATTCTTTCACTTTTCGTTTCGACAGTGGTGTGACGAGGCCCTTCGAGAGTACTGGGCGCCATGCACAAAAGACAAATCATGGTGGTGTATCTTTCCATGTTCGAGCAGAAGATTCACTCTCGTTTTGCTGCTTTTGCACATTTCGGGACTCGCCACACCACTGTCGAAACGAAAAGCGAACGAATGCACCTTCCCGCTGAGAAGGGCAAGATGCATCCATTACTATGAATAGCAATGGATGCATCTTACCGCTCTGTGCGGCAGGTACTTTTTTTCTCTTTTCGTTTCGACAATCACGTCGTGAGGTCATTCAAGAGTGGTAGAGCGACGCCCAAAGAATCGCGACTTTAGTCGCATGTCAGAGCGTCAGCGCCTTTGGGAAACTTTTTCCCCCTCTCAAACTTCTTCCGCGCGCTTCCCCGTTTTGGGGGGAAAAAACAAACAAACAAACAAACAGCGGGCCACCATTGACGCCCACCCACACCACTGTCGAAACCAAAAGAGAACAAATGCATCTGCCGCAGAAAGTTGCAAGATGCAACCGTTGCTTTTCACATTAAGGAATGCATCTTGCACTTTTGTGCGAAAAGATGCATTCGTTCGTTTTTGGTTTCGGGAGTGGTGTAGTGAGGCCCTTAGTCCAGATGCCGTCCAGATGCAGCGAATCATGGAAAATCCGTTAGATAGTGGGAAAATCTACAAAGCCAAAGCAAGGTAATACAAATGAAGTGCAAAGACAGCACACACGAGTCGACACCACAGCACACCAAAAAGCCAACGTGCCAAAAAAATAGAGCTCGCAAGACCGTTAGGAATTCGGGTTTCCGACAAAACCAGACGCAAAGATAAAGATCGCAAGGCCAAAACATGAAAGAAAACAACCTGCTCGGCGCACGGCGTCACGGCCAGGGCGACTAAGCTTTAGTAGTATGTTGTTGATAACACGAACTGCAGAGAAGCATAGTGAGAGGGGCAAGGGGAAAGAGTGACAGAGACGAAGACAGAGACAACCGTGGCCTCCAAGGAATTGTGGTTTGGTTTGTCCTTGTGATGTCGAGAGATTAGCCTGTCAATCCTACACTATCTTCTTCGCACTTTGTTTGCAGTAGCGAAATCACATCCGTTGATTCTATAGCCTACCATCTGTCATAAAATTGAGAAGAGTTCTTACGAGGATCAGTCACAACCACAACCCAAGTTCTTCAGAATGCCCAGTGTCTGGAGTCTTGTTTGGAGCCACTCTCTCCGCTGTATTGATCAGGCTGTCCAGCATCGCGCGCAAAAACAGCACACAAGCCAACACATGAAAGGCTGAGGGGTCCTTTTGAATCCTGCCCAACTGCATGAACCATAACTTACAGAAGTTGGCACCTTTTTTTTTTTTTTTTTAATCCACACAACAGTCAGGAAAACAGATGATGAAAGGAGGGGCGGAAATGAGAGAAGGGGGTAAGAACAGGGAGGATGAATGAGGGAAAGTGAAACAAGAGGGAAGAAGAGAAGAGAGAACAGAAAACAAAGGGAAGAAGAGACAGTACTATTTCCAGCCTTGGACCTCCTCCATGCACACACAAATTCGAACCGGCGCCTTGAGCCTCAAGAGCAGAGTTTCTTAACCACTACAGCCATGGAAGGTGTACAAAAGCGGAACCATACTGGTCGTGATATGCACACCACCCGTGCATGGCTGTAGTGTCCTTACCTTACACCACACACACACAACACCACCCAGGCACGTGTCGCACACTAGCTCCATCAAGCACATGACCTCAAACCACGAGGGCAGACAGCCCCATCCACAATATGCACAACTTCACGCTAAGGGAAGAAAGCGCTAGACATGGCTTCTCTCCTCTCCTTTCTTTCCCCCTCTTCTTTGAAGAGAAGGAGAAGAGAAGGAAAAGAGAGGAATAAGGAGAGGCAGCGAGAATAAAAGAAACCATATAAGATAAGCTATGATAAGAAGAGGCTCGACAAAGCTTCTCTCCTCGTCCTCGCACATTATCATTTCTTTCCCCCTTTTTCTTGGAAGAGAAGCAGAAGAAGAAAGAGAAGAGTAGAAGAGAAGAAAAAAAGAAAAGGAGAAGAGAAGCAAAAGAGAAGGAGAAGACAAGGAGAAGTAGAAGGGAAGGAGAAGGGAAGGAGAAGAGAAGGAGAAGAGAAAGTGAAGAGGAGAAGAGAAGGAAAACCGAGGAATAAGGAGAAGTGCAAGAAGAAAAGAAACAATACGAGGTAGGCCATGGTAAGTGAAGTAAAGCACTTACTCCATGCCAAGCGCTGTAATGGTATTTGTGAGCTGCTCCACCTTTGCTCGCTTCTCTGGTGCATGAATCAAACGTTCGGTCGGTGCATGAGTTGTCAGAATCACACTGGTGGGTAGTCATCAAAATCGCTGCTTGCACCTGGGCAAGTCAAAAAAGATTATGAACAAGTTTAACAGACTGACATCCTAGACCAGCAAAAAAGCTGGCAGACTACTTTTTTGCAATCTCTTTCTTACCATTATTTTCTTTACTTCTCAAATTCTCTTCCTTCTCGCACTTTCTTCTGCGTCTCGACTCTCCTTTCTTCTTTCCCTCCCTCCTTTTCCCTCCTCTTTTCCAATCTGGATATGCTCCTTTTAATCCCTATCCAGGTTCAGAATAGGGAACCGAAGACAATTGCAACTCCACTTGCCATGGTATGGGAGGAGAGAAGGAGAGAGAATGAAGGTCGCCGACAAAATCCATGATGGTTTCCCTCCTTTCCCCTCCCCCACCAAGATGAACCCCCGTATGCACTCGTCATTGAGAGGAAAGGAGACTGAGATTCTGCTCTTACAAAAGCATATGATGCATAACGAAGTGCCACCCAACGGATCATATAATCCCCAAATGACTCCACATGTGTGAAATGAATGAACAGGCAAAGCTACCGACAGAGGAGATAATGTGACTATTGATGAGGCTAAATAGAATACAAGAAATACAAGAGAACCAGGCAAGGAAAAGATAAACACACACAAGTCTAGATCTTCGACTGAAGAGAAAAATCTGCATCTGCAAGAACCCTAAATTGAACCAGCGCAGCACAAGTCCTACCGTCACAGCTTTTTGACCAGATAAGAATTTGGGGGTCAAAAGTCGGCCCCATAGTCCCTGAAACGTCTGTACAATGTCCTTGGGTTGGTAGGCCTGGGGGCGAAGGTCAAATTGAGGCGCTGTTACATACTCCAATGAGTATGGGCAGAACCAAGGATCAACCAATGTAGGATGAGCATATATGCAACAGAAGTCTGATGAACGGACTGACTCACATAGACTGACTCACATAGCATCACTCCACACACATACAATCGTGAGGTGGTGGGGTCTGAGCCATACATAGAAGATGCTCAGCCCCGTACACACATACACAGATGAATGGGGGAGGAGAGACGAAGAGGTGGGGGGAGGTAGACAGCACAGAAAGTCACCGAGGTAAAATCTGATAGGTCACCGATATGGTAGTCCAAAATGTCATCCAACAAGATCAAAATGTCGAGGACCATAGGTCACCAATGTCAGGGATACAGAGTCCAAATGTAACCGGTGTCTGAACTGTGATGTCGCCCAGTATCAACCCCAACGATCTCCAAGTCTCCAATCCGATAAGTACCACAGTCTCATACCACCGAAGTCCAACACTGATCTCTGTCCAACTAGTATAGGTCTCCAATCTGAAGAAGAAGAAGAAGAAGAAGAAGAAGAAGAAGAAGAAGAAGAAGAAGAAGAAGACGAAGAAGAAGAAGAAGAAGGAGAAGAAGAAGAAGAAGGAGCCGAGGAGGAGAGGGAGCGAGAGGGGACTGGCGATGGGAGGGAGGAGAGAAACCTCCAACTCCCGGTACCTCAGGCGGCTATGGCCGCCGGTAACCCAGTCGCCGCTGCTGCTGCTCCGCTTGCTGCTGCTGCGCTGCCTGCTCCTCGCTCCTGCGCTAAACATAGCGCTCCAACGGCACTCTGGTGCCGACCTTACCGCACCGTATCGTATACCGGTGGGTCGATGCCTCGAAGTGAGGCCGGACCAGTACTAAGTACTGGTTCGAAGAGGACCGGCCTCACTGCTGCGAGGCCTTGGTTGGGGCTGAACCGTCCAGATCGACGATTCAGGTCCAACCGGAGAGCGGCAGCCTCAAACGGCGCCGTCAGGCCCAAAGACGAAATGTCATTTGGGCCTGGTCCGTAATCGGGTCCAAGTCGTGGCCTTTCGGCCTGTTATCTCCCAAGGTCGGGCCTTTAGGCCCTGATGTGTCCCTCTAGCCCTAAGTTGGGTCCGGTAGGACCCGTGTGGCGTCGAAGATGTAACAGGCGCCAAGGGCCCTCAGCACAGGCCTCAGGAATTCAACGAAATTCAACAGCCAGGCCCAGCACAGGCAGAAGTCAAAGAGTCAAAGATTTTTCAAGACTCCACCATGGCCACCACAGATCACACACAATCCAATGGCTCAGTCCAGCACTCACTGGGTCCAGGCACACAATGGCCACCAGAAAATCTTGGCAGCACAGATTGGGAAATCTCAGCCGCACGAGGAGGCAACTCGAGGAAAGGCCAGGCTTAGTGAACACTACAAATACTAGGCCTCTTGCATTCTGCCTTTGCGCTGCTTTCAGGGAGGAGCGCTGGTGCTAGAGCGCTAGCAGTGGAAGAAGGCAGATGCAGACTGAGAGTAATCATAGCTAGGATAGGTGCGCACACACCATAGCTTAGCATGAGAATGTGAGGTTGAGCGTGGCCGTATCCTCTGTGTGTGTGTGTGTGTGTTTGTGTGTGTGTGTGTGTGTGTGTGTGTGCGTGTGTGTGTGTGTGTGTGTGTGTGTGTGTGTGTGTGTGTGTGTGTGAGAGAGGGAGAGAGAGAGAGAGAGAGAGAGAGAGAGAGAGAGAGAGAGAGAGAGAGATGGACTTACCTGCTGGTGTTGCCGTGAGTGGAGAGAGACTGCTTTGCTATTGAAGGCCAGCATCGCAGTGTCCAATGTTTTTCCTTATTCCGCCTGAGGGACATTACTTTGGAAAGTGACTGTACATTTCGATGAGGTGTTCGTGAGAGAGATACTGACTTCATCACTTGAAGAGACAAGGGTTGACGATTTTGGAGGCGGCGAGAAGAAAGAGGAAAACCCGGAGGCTGAAGGAGGAAGGGGAGAAAGACATCATGTCATTTGACTATGAAATGACCTGCAAAATCAAAGACTGAGAACTCTGCTGATTTCTGAGTTTTGCCTCTGGAGTGTGTGCCTTGCTGAGATTCCCGCTTTCTGCTGAGATTTCTAAGTCTGTGTGTGTGGGTGATTGCTGATTACCGTGTGCGTGTTTGATTGCATGTCTGCCTGAGAGTGTGTGTGGCCCGCCAGAGTGCTTGTATGTTTGAGAGGCCCTCAGGGCCTGTACTTACCTGTGGCCGTGACTTTGCGGGCTGCATTGGCGAACACTGAATTGGCGTAGGCTATCACTCAAGTAGCTGTAGTGTAGGCCCGTGTAGCTTACGGTAGCACTTGCATAGTGGTACACGGAGCAGAAGAACACAAAAGTTAGTACCTTTAGAGGCTGAGTGAACTTTAGGAGTCGGGTAGGCCTAGGTCTAGGATACCAGTCCAGCAGTCTTGAGTCTTAGGCCTGTGGCGGATGATATCAGACCTGCAATGATGTTTCCCTCCGAAAGGAGGATGGTAACGGTTCCTGGGAGGCCGCGCAGCCTGGAAGTCACCGCACAAGAGGCAAGTTGGTTGGTATATCTTCAGGAAGAGTGACTTGCTCTTCCTTATTTGTGGTGTGCAAGTTTGGGCATCATGCTGCTGGAGCTCCTGATGGTTGTAGAGCACTGGAAAGAGCACCTGGCCTTCCACCTCCGCTATGGTGGACAGGATCAGGTACGAGGAGGAAGAAGGGCCTGAGGAGGAGAATGGCCGGAGGTACTTACCTGGCTATGGTGGACATCGTCTTCATCCTTGGTAGGCGATGCACCTCGAAGGCCGCGGTAGGGGTTGCACTGCATCAAGAAGGCTTCAGGGGAGAGTCAGGCATGGCGGCCTGAGTGGCAGAGCAATACCTGGTGTTGCGCTGACTTTTGAACATCGGGGTAGGGCCCCAGTAGTCCGCAATAGCCACCACCTACCGGAGGTGGTTGTAGACGAAGTGGTTCTGATTCAGTCGTTCATTGTTATTATTACTATAATTTATTGAAGAATAAGATTGGCAGAGATAAGGAGGATGGAATGAGTGGCGAGAGAAGGGGGATTGGGGATCGGTCTTTTGCTGGTGTACATTGTCTTCTTCTTTCTTTCTTATTTCTTCTACTTCCTTTGTCTCTTTCTTTCATTTGATTTGCAATTGAATGGCATTGTTGTCCTTGTGTAATTGCACTTCGGAATAGCCAGGATCATAAGTTTCATAACAACTAATATTATTTGAGATTGTTCTCCTCCGCCTACTCTTTCTTTTCTTGACTCTGGTGTACTGGCTTTCTCTTTGCGATTGTTGTTGACTTTCATGCACGGTCTGGATCGTATCAGCTTCTCAGATTCCACTTCATTACATGAGCTAAATTGAAAAAAAGAACTTGTCATTTTGTAGTTATTAATTACCATCAGGCAGGTGTATTCCACCCCTTTCAAAATCCACCCTCAGCATTCTGCCAACAAGGTTTGCCTCTTCAGAGTCTATGACGCCCGCGTCCAATGCTCTCGCCAGTATATGATACAATTCTGGACTAGTATTCAATTTCTGCACACGCACACACACACACACACACACACACACACACACACACACACACACACACACACAACTTATTTGTAAAGATTTGTTTTCAATGCCATTAATCAAGAAGTTCCACAAAGACAAGTGGCGAATAGTCAGGCAACAACAGCCAGGATTACAATAATTGAAATGATATTCTGCACAACATTGCATATACAACAGAAGGGAAAGGGGGAATGTGTCACATAGCCCAGAAGAATAATCTAACATACCATTAACACTGAACTTAAGTCCATGGACTTCATACTTCCACCTGGTCAGCACCAGTGTAGGTAGTCATAGATCTTTCCTTATCTGCACACAGCATATCCATATAAGAATATGGCAGATCTATCATTATCCATCAGTGCGGCAGTCCATCGGTATTCAGTACTATTCACGATTGAAAGATTTGTCACTGTCTATTTGTGGTAAATGTGTTAGCATCCATAAAGAGTAAATACCTGCTCTGCCAGTGGAGATCAATGAGTGGCAGATCTTTCATTAACCATAAAATAAGAGACCTAATAGGAAACGGGCAACGCAAATGAAAATAAACCAGATGGCAGCATCCCATAGAAATCCAGATTGCAAACCAAGATAACACGAAATAAATGTGAGCAAAGCATTGGAGTCACATGATAATGAAAGCCCTCTTCTCGCCTCCCATCACCAATGTCAATAATGTAGCTCTTATACATTGGCAGTTGGCGAACAGACTATAGACAGACAGCTCCTATGACCAGGACTCCGATCTACAACAGGTCCGCTGTGAAGATCATCTGCCTGATGAACTCCTTGCCACCTTTCCCGTGTTTGTTCATGTCATTATCATCTCACCTTGTCCTCGTAAATCATGTTCCTGATCTTTCATCGTCCTCATCTTTATTGTTGTCTCATAGTCGGTGTGGTCATAGTCTCTCTCTCTCTCTCTCTCTCTCTCTCTCTCTCTCTCTCTCTCTCTCTCTCTCTCTCTCTCTCTCTCTCTCTC